CACCCGCCGTGGCATTGATTCCACAAGGTGCTGATAGGTAGTCTGAGGTATCTGGTACCAAGCGCTCACCAACTGGTCCTGCAATTCCCTCACGTTGCGAGGGGGTAGCGTGGCTGCACGAATTTGGTTTTCCGAGTAGGACCACAAATGCTCTATTGGATTAAGGTCAGGTGAATTTGGGGGCCAAGACATGACTTGAAAGTCACTGGAATGTTCCTCGTACCAATCCATGATGATTCGACATTTTTATGACATGGTGCATTATCCTGTTGGTAAACACCATCCCCTGCAGGAAAAAACTGTTGCCATGAATGGGTGAACCTGGTCTGCAACTATGTACAAGTAGCTTACAGACGCCAAGGATTGTTCTATGAGGATTATGGGTCCTAAAACCTGAACCTGGTCCCCATGAAATCCTTGTTCCTGGGCGAGAAACCATGAAAACCTGGGCTTTTTATAGTTACAAGGTGGTCATAATGTAATGGCTCTTCGGTATATATATATATATTATTATTATTACAAAAATTCAATAAATAAAAACCTTTGACAATAACACGGACATTTCTTGAAAATAGTTAAAATTTAATTCAAAGTACTTTAACGCGGGCAACAGCTAAACGGCGAAATTTTTTTTTTAATACATTAATAAAAACTAATTAGGGTGTTAGGATAGGAGCACAGGAGTTGAAGATTTAGAATATTTAAATAGTTTAGCTGTGCATTCACCTTGGTTATAATTAAAGTTTGTATGTTGTACAAGATAATTTTGAAAGGTGACCATACTGGTTTGCAAAGGCGACCTGCATGTAACACATTTTTTGTAATTTTCTCTAGAGATACTCACATCATTTTGTAACTTTAGATGTGTTTAGTTCATTCGAATTTTCATATTTAGCAATAAAATTTAAAGCTTTCAAGGACCAGCAATAAATCACGGAAGAAAACAAGTATTTTTGAACATCGTATACCAGAAAATGAAGCAATAAGCTTGTATCAATTACTTTCGCTCTTTAAGCAAAAACTGCACAGAATTTTGAAAAACTTAGCTTAAATATTTATGAAAATATGGACATTTTTATCAAAAACTTACGTTTTTTTGCTGTAACTTTAAAAATATTCAATAAAATTAAGCAAAATTTTTGAACTACAAAATTGCCTTAAAATTCGTTAAAAACTGCGCAAGATATGAGTATTTAAAGTAGTTCTCTCACACTACGCACGCGCGGAAATTTTTTTTCTTCTTAATTTTGTAGTGAATCGTATTTGGGCGACTAATAAAAGTCATATTTTAATATCTTAAAAATATTAAAAGTTCTAAGTAATTGTTTAAGTAGTTTTTGTACTTATTAAAAGAAAGCTCAAAATAATCAGGGGTTTTCCACAAATTTTATTTTGTAGTGCGGCAAGTTTACACTACCGGAATGCATTTGCTATTAAAACGGACTGTAAGAATAAAATGTGTGGCAAATCCCTGAAAAACTAATTAAAAGTGTTAGGATAGGAGCTTTTTTTTTTAATAAGTACAAAAACTACTTAGAAAATTGATTGAAACTTTTAACGTGTTTAAGACATTTAAATCTGACTTTTTTGTTAATTGCCAAATACGATTCACTACAAAACTATGAAGAAAAAAATTTTTAGCGCATGCGCAGTATAAGAGAACTACTTTAAATACTCATATCTAGCGTTTTTTTTAACGAATCTTTACTAAATTTTAAAACGAAAATTTTATAATTAATTTTAAATTGCATCAAAAATTTTGTTTAATGTTGTTGAAAAATTTTAAAGTTATCGCAAAAAAGACGTAAGTATGATCGATAAATTATAGTTATACTTTGTTACAGTATTCTTTGGCCGATAACTTTGACAGTTATTCCAAATAACAATCAAAGTAATCCATACAAGTTACAAGCTTATTACTTGATTTTTTTTTGGTACAGGGTGTTTTTTTCTTTCATGATTTATACCTCTGAGAGTTTTAAGTTTATTGCTATGTATGAAAATTCGCATGAACTAAACACATCTAAAGTTACAAAACAATTCTTTAAATATTTCTTGAGAAATTTAAAAAGATTTTAAAAATTGTGTAGTGTATTTATGTATTAAAACAACCTATCAAAAGCATAAGATTTAATAAAAAATGCTGTTTTCTTTAAAATCATGGTTAATGTCTTTATTTGATTATTTTAGGGAGTCTGTTTTTACTTTTGATTTATTGAATGAAGTTAAAGATGTTACTTGGGCACCATTTTCTTCTTCCCTTTTTGCCGCTGTTACAAATGATGGAAAGGTGACATTTGAAACTTCATAACAGTTTTCTATTATAAGAGCATTTCATGAACTTTCCTTGCAAGTTACACATAAAATTCATTAATATTTTCGCAATAAAATATTCTGTAAATGTTTCTCTATATCTAAAATATCTTAGCGCTAAATGCAAATTCATAAAAATAATTGTATTCATATTAAATTGTTTTTATGAAATTATGAATCTTTGACTGCCCTACCACTGGGGAATAGCCATATTCTATCTCAGGGAGAATGTCAGAAAAAGTTAAAAATCTTGAAAAAAAAAATTTTTTTTTTAATGGCAGGCACTGAACTCTTGTTCCATGGAAGATGTCGAATGTGTTGCTCTTTAGCGTTACTCGATGGGCCCCTGTGAACCTAAGTCACAGAGGTGAGCAACATGTGGGCCACATCCACACAGCACATCGATTAAGCAGGATTCGAACCCGCAATCATTGGCTTCGTAGTCAGGCACGCGAACCGCTTGGCTATCTTGAAAAGTCAGGGAATTTAACACCTTACGTTTTGGGTGTTTCAATTAAATTCCCCTGAAAACACAGGGAAATTTAATAGAAACATACTTGAAAAGTCAGGGAAATATAAGGGAATTTAATTAAAACACCCAAAAAGTAAGGAAAAATTAATTAATATGAATTTGAAGTGCCCAGAAGTTCAATATTTTTACAAAACATTGGGCTTGCAATACTTATTTCAATTATTTATTTTTGAATCTAATAGCAAGTATAAACATTTTGTATATAAGAATAAGGTACAACTGAAAAATTAATTATGAAGTTGGGAGTAAAAATTAATAATTCAGAAGTTTTGTGACCCCCCTGTATACCCAGTAGCCAAAACCCTCCAGCATGGCAGTGGATACTGTTTATCTTTCATCAAAGTTTAATTTTTATTTTTAAAAAGCAAACAGTTGAGTGAGAGTAAATTGCTGAGATTCTCCTTTTTTAAAATACTATATCTAAACTTGATTTTTAAAAAAATTAAAAAGCAGAAATGAAAACACCGCAAAGGACAAAAAATAAAGTTTTTTTTCTTCCTGTTACTTGATTAAAGATTTACCTATATGAAGATTTACACCATTCTTTTAACATTGTATAAAGTTCAAATTTAATTTAAAAATGAAACTTATTTGTATAATTTTAAAGGACCTCATATTTGCTAAGTTTACTACTTGTATGTTAGGTTAAGCTTAATTTTTACAATAATATCTCTCCAACTGCATTGAGATGACAGAAAAATTTGGATTCATGAAGATAGTGCCGGAGATTCAAGCCTGCTATCAGACTCGTATTTGTTAATTAATAAACAAAGTGCTTATTGAAAAGCCTGCTAATTAAAATAAATTAATTTCAATTATGCGATTTAGTTACTATTCTAATTCTAACTAAAATCACCTTAGACTTGAGTAAAGATTACATTTTAATTAACTATTATTAGATTTCAAATGAAATCGCAATCCTAGTACTAAATGATAACACAGATGCTATACTTTAGAAAATTACAATAACATATTTTAAACATACAGTTTTCCAATGTAAATTAAAAGTAAATAAAAAGCTTTATTCATTGAATCATAATGTGATTTGAATTAACATCAACTTTAATTAAGTGCTAAGTTAAATGGCATAAACATGACCAATGATCTTTTATAAAATATTTTAATTGACTGCATTTGAAATATATAATACAAAACAGCATTTTAACAGTGTTTAAAACTTTATAACCATCAATTCCAAATATTAATACGAGATTTAAAATTAACAAGACATACATAATGCATCAACTAGAAGTTTAATTAAGTTTTTAAATTATAATTTTAAACATTTAATTTGAGCAATTGCTACATAAGAACAAAAAAAGAAAAATAGGATTTTTTCATTCTTATTCATGCATGAAAATCTAATTTTTACTTATAATGGCAATAATTATAATTAAAGTAACATTGTAAATTCTTTTCTTTTTTTCGTATTTCAAAGTATTATTCGTATTAGTATTATAGTATTTAATTATTTACGTATTTCGTATTTTTATTATTTTATTTCGTTTATTCCTTATTTTTGTTCCTATAAAAATAAAAATATTAACTTAATTATGTAGAAATTCTTTTTTATAAATCTTCATAAATTTTATTTTAGGTACATATATTTGATATAATGATGAATCGGCATCAACCAACAGCAACATATAATTTATATACATCCAAGAAAAATGTTAATCTCACAAGCGTTCAATTCAATCCAGTTAAACCTGTTATTATTGTAGGCGATGACAAGTAATAAAAAATTATATTTCATTACCCTTACATTTGATTCGTTAAATAAGTTTTTTTATTTAATAAAAATAAAAAAATTTCAGGGGTTCAATAATCAGCTTCAAGCTATCGCCAAATCTACGATCCTCATTAAAGGTAAGTACTTCAACTATTGATTATGGTTTAGCTATTTTATAAATGCAATGAAATAATTTATGTGATATAGTAAAATGGAATTTGCAATTGCCAAATATATATTTTTAGGTTTACAACTAATTAAAATCAGTTGATTAGATTTATGTATGTAAGAACAGCATAAGCACTAATTCATGTTTTATAGGTATTTGAAGCAACTGAAAAATCGAAATTTGCATCGTCTGAAAAAGATAAAATGGAAAAGATTTTGAAATTGGCAAGAAATCTGGAGAATTGAAAATAAAAATTGACATTTCATTACTTTTAATATTATTTCCACAATAAGCAGTTATAATAATTGCAATACTTTTAACTAATTTCAGATATTCAAAAATAAAATAAAGACGTTTCACCTTATAGGTACTTGAAGCAATTTAAATTAAAATTTGCTTTCACAATTTGATCAATAAAAAAAAGGCTTTACAAAATATTATGTTTTATTTCTTTTACAATTGCACAACGTTTTTACCAGCTGTTTCATCAAGAAACAGAACGCTAAATACATCGTCATAGAATTCTGGGTAATATTGACAAGCTCTTTTGCAGTCGGGCATCCAATTTACTTCCAAAATCACAGGCCTAATTGTTGGTACTGAAAACAAAAATGTCATATGTAGAGTTTCAGAAGAAAAAAAAATTAATATGCATGAAAGAAACTGTATGGAAGCTTTAAATTAAAGAATAATAATAAAGAATAATCTTATAAGAGTTCCTTAGAGCGACTATTCCATTATAACGACTGGTAAGTCTCCTTATCTATTCAATATTTCATATATGTCATTTTAACCACTCAATGGGATCTCGATCCTGATTGGTTGTTGAAACGAAGCATTTGCTTACGTTAGTAACTGTTCTTTCTATTCTATTTAGAGTAAGCTGAGCCGGTTAAGTATCTTAAGTAACGCATTTGAAATTCTTTCTCAAAGATTTAAGATCTTTTACTATATATATTAACACAGAGACTTAACACCAAGACAGGTACAAAGTCATATGGAACATAAACAAACTAATTATACATCAAAGTTGTCAGGTACACAAATCAAAAATATATCACGTTTTCAATAAAATACATAAACTAATAATAAATCTAAGTTAAGTAAAAGAAGTAACCGAGAAAGAATTGTGTTTCAACTAATTTGATGTGCGATGCGGCTCTGTAGTGAATTAACTTATCATTAATTAACATTCTAACTTAAGTAGAGAACCTTAACTCAACTTCAATACGCCATTTTGCTGATAAAAATTAGCTGACGCTGACGTCATATGTGTGGGCATAGGAGGTCTTCTTCTTGAAGGTCAAGTACCAAGTCTTTTAATTTAAAAAAAGTTTTAAAAATTTTTTTAAATCTTATCTAAATCTTTTTTGGGTTTCAAATTAAATGTGAAACAACTTCAATTCCCTTTCAATGAAGGAAGAATAACATTACTCCTTAGAATGCAATTAATGGCAAAAAGTTTGCGAAATATGGAATAAAAAACAAATTGCCTTAAAACTAATTGCCTAATCATTATTAAAGCAGGACTGCCTACTACTATGCTTTTTGCAAAATATTTTACAAAATAGTAGACAACTAAAACCTAAAGGTTTCCGAATTTTTGGTAGTCTTCCTAATATTTTAAACTCCTTAACATGAGAAAGCTGAAAAAAATGGCATTCTATGTAAACTTTTTAGTCAGTTATGTGCAGTGTTTGAGGAAAGTAACTTAAAATCAAATTATCAAAAAGAATCAAACATTGAAGCATATACTTAGATACCACTTAAAGAAATTTTCCCACAAAGCATAGAAAGTTGGCAGTCCAATTAATAAGAAGCACTGCTTTATTAAAAAAAGTTTAATAACTTTTACCAATGAGCAAAAACATACTGTATTTTTATGCACACAGAGTATAGTGACCGCACGCTGCAATGTCTCTTTACGCTTGGACATACTGTTTTGATTTTTCATGGTTTACAATTTTTGTAATTGATGTGATGAAATCAAAACTAATATAAATTTATTTTTAAAACAAGTAAAATAAAATATCTGGAAATAAATTATCAGGATACACACCCTCTCCACTTCTATCCCATTCCAGCATAATATCTAAACCATACATTGCACGGGATCCATTGTATGCTCCTATACCAGCAGGATGTTCTTTCATTGCAGCAGCAATAAAGATTTCTTTAATCATTTTATAAATATCAGCCTAAAAATACAAACACTAGGTATAAATAGGGAAAAAAAGTAATGAAAAGGCCAAATTTTGGTTTTTTATTATTCTAATTTTTTCTAATAGGTTTCTTTAGCTTAGAACTTTATTACGTTCACTTATTTGGTTATACGAAAAAGTCATAAAAATTGGATTAGGAAATACCTACAGCATAGCTGCCAACATGGATCGGAAAAAATCCACTATATTTTACAAAATAATATAAATTTCATGGTAATTGTTGCATAGTGTACTAAATATTTTACACATATGGAATTTTAGGGATTTTTATAGTCATCAAAATAGAAAAACTGCCATATTTTCCAGTTATGATTGACATTAAACATACTTAAAATTTTATGTATTATGTTTACTCATAATTCAGCATTTAAATCATCAAACATAGTTAAAAGATTTCTTTAATTAATTTAAAAAGAGTAGCTCTGAATAAAAATAAACTGAACATTTTAGAACAAAAAAAGTTTGGAGCTGATTTCTATAAATGAGGTTCACTTCATTATTTATCAGTAATACTTATTTAATTATTCAAACAAGCAATAATCTGTACAAAAATTCTATTTCAATAGGAATTTTTTTTAGGAAACCTACTCAATTTTAGGGAAATTTCTAGAATGTACAAAAACCAGGAGAATTTAAAATAAACCAGTAGACCAGGAGAAACTACCAAAATCCAGTAGAGTTGGCAACTATGCTATAGTGAATGAAAATAGAAAAACTTCTTTTTCTAAGCACTACAGCCAGTTACCGGCCAAGGACATCTCAGTCAGTTTACCCAATCTAGTTCTAATCAATGCTATATTTATACTCCCAAGTCCTTTAACAACTTCTCTACTCTATCTAACCATCTTGCTCTAGGCTTTCCTCTTTTTTTTCTCTTTCTTTTCTTGGAAGGTACTTTTTTAAAAAAAATTTTAACAGGATTTTCATCGCTATATTGTGTCCTAGCCACTTTATTTAAGAAACCTTGTTCACTTTTACTATGTTAGGTTCTTTGTATTTTGATTGTAATTCGTAGTTGTAATAATTCCATTTTCTCTTACTGCATCAATAATTATTCTTAAGACATTTTTCTCGAAAGTCATCAGTTTCTATTTGTCTGCTTTATTAATTTCCCAGTCTTCACGGACACATAAAACTATCGGCCTCACTAGTGTCTTGTACAACTGCATTCTTATTTCACAACTTATGTGTTTAGATTTGAAATTAAAAAAACAGAAAATAGAAATTTGGTCTATTCAATATAAATGCAAAGCATAATAACAATTAAGTCCTTCGCTTATTTTTGTTGTTCATTTAAAAATCACTTATAACTTAAAAAATCTTATCTTAACTTCATTTTAAGAAACATCTTTTAACATTCCTTGAATGAATAAAGAGCTCAAATATCGTGAAAATAATTATCATAAAAGAAAGTAAGAAAATATTATTATCAATTAATCAGTTAAGTTCTAACATTGTATTATAAATTAATCACACAATGCTCACTTACAGAAAATTTAATTAAAGAAAGTATCATAAAATAATATAAAAATAAGCATAAAAAATTATCATAAAAATTAATTGTAAAATATTCTGCAAACAAAGTTGCATAAATTAAAACTTATCAATAGCACACAAAAAAAATTACTTCAATATCATTCCACTTATAGCAGCTGTAATGATTTTCAAATCTTTCAATAAAGTCATGGCAAAACATCTATAAATTATAAAAATCACATTATTATAATTCAATTTAAGCAATACATTTAAGATGACATAAGCAATAATTAGATACATAATAATGTCATTTGTTTACTTGTTGTAAAGGAAATTCACTGTAGTTCATCACTGTGAAATGTTTTTCATAATCTTCAAAGTTATCCAAAGAGAAAGGCCTATAAGTAAGTATGAATGTTAAAATCAGCTGGACAATTTACAGTTCTATAAAAGAATGCTTATGCATTGATTTCAAGTTAAAAAAAACTATATAAATTGATGACTATATTTTTAAATCTTATTTTAAAAAATGCATAAGTAGAAATTTTACCATTTTAAAAAAGTATAAAATTTCCTTTGATTAACATTTTATAATTAAAAATTTTCAAATTAGTGTTCTAGACTTGTATTATGAATTAATAGAATTTTTTTAGGCCATCAGTTTTTTTTAACGATATTTTTTTACAGCATTAAAAACCATTATGAGAGAGAAAAATTTGAACTTAACTTTTAGACAAGAGCAGTAGGAATTGTAGTTATTTTATAGACATCCAAAACGAAACAATTGGTTTCATCTTTTTATTTTTCAAATTTAAAAGTAGTTGATAAAAAGCAGCATAGTTTAATAAAAATTTCTTGTTTATGTTAATGGTTTAGAGTTAACAATTTTAATGGTTTATTTTAATGTCAAATATAAGTTGGACAGCTTTTACTCTACTACCTCTAAAAGACTACACCAATATGTGTCGTTTATGCATATGTTTAAAATATTCAAATAATATAAGGGCCAAAAAATTTTTTTAATTAAATTTATTGAACAAAAAAGTAACATATGCTACTGAAAAGAAATCTTTAGAAATTACTGAAAATCTATAGAAATTGAAAGATATGAATGATTTTGACATAATACTTGACAATTCAGGAAACCTTAGACAGGTAATTAATCTACAGAGTTTAACTTGGCAGGTTTTATTAAACAATTTTTGCTAAAAGTGGACTAAAATTTAAAATAATAATAATAAATAATATTTATGTATTCTTTCACCAAAGGTTTAACAAATTTTTGATAAAATTTTTAACCTGTTCTCTTCAAACAATATCATTGATTTAAAAATTTGCAAGTTGACTGTCAAATGAACTGATAAAAATTAAATAATTTAAAAAAATTGTTAGAATATATATATTTTTGTTGCATATGAAATATCTAAAAAAAATTGCATATAAAATATTAAATAAAGAAAAATTAAACAAAATAAAATAAATAAATAAACATACATAAACCTTTAAAAAAAATCACAGAATTTAAATACTCACTTGTTAGCAAATCGTAGCCAAAACCTCTTATAAACAAAGAGCTCAAAATTTTGAATACTTTTTAATAGAACAATAAATCTTAAATCCATTTTGACTAAACCTTTGTTTTCTCGTGGGAACAAAACTGGATCACTTATGTATTTACAAGCCACCTATTAAAATGTAATTGAAATATAAATATTTTGAAAGCATAGTGTAACATGGTATGAATGTATTTACATACCATGTTACACTATGTATTTACAAGCTACCTATTAAAATCAGAGATGAGAGTAGTCAGAAGGAAGAAAAAGAGGAAATCCAAGAAGAAGGAAGAAAAAAAATATATATAAACAAAAATTTGACAAAAAAAAGCGCAATTTTTTAACTTGTAAACCATGTGATTATAAATCCCGATATGAGGTTTTTAAATCACGTAAATATGAAACTCCACATGGAATTTAAAAAATGCAAAAATACAAATCATGATGCGTAATTTTTAGATCACGATGCATAATTTTTAAATCGCGCGATATTACAACCGAAAATTCGAATCACGGCATTGGATTTTAAGCTCGGGTGAATACGAATTGCTACATAGGGTTTTAAAGGCTCGTAAATACAAATCGCGATATTGGTTTTTTAAATCTTGTAAATAAGAATCGCAATGTACAATATTTAAATCGCCAGAATAAGAATCGCAACATTCAACTTTTAAATCAGGTAAATACGAAAATCGATGTTTTATAATAAAATCGCGATTTTAAAAATGCATAAATACAAAACTCGATATTGGATTTTTAAATCTCATAAATAAGAATCATAATGTAGGATATTTAAATAGAGTAAATAAGAATCGCAATGCGCAATTTTTAAATCAGGTAAATACGAAAATCGATGATTGATATTAAAATCGCGTGAATAAAAATCGAGATATTTGCAGAGTCTGGACTTGGGATTTCTAAAAGGCTTGTTTGTATTGTTTTTGTTCAGACATAATAAATAAAAATTTACAAGATTAATTGAATGAGCAAATAAATATTTTCCCAGTAAATCCACTTCTTATTTTTTTTCTCTTTTTTTTTGTTGTTTGTTTTCAATCCAGAATACAAGAAGCAGCGACGTCTGAATTACGAAAATACGAGCTATCCCACTGACGGATAAAAAATACCGAAAATCTTATTTTCTGTGCATGAAATCGGAGAAAATAGCTAATATAAGTAAGAATGCGGAAGGGTTAGCAGCTAGGACGTAGTTTGAATTTTCTGTTTATCTTTGAAAATCTTAAACAAATATAATTATTTTACTTCAATGACTGAATTTTTTAAAAAAAGCAGGATATTTATTAAACAAAACGAAACTTTTAGAGAATCGGAGTTTTTGATAAAAAGGCTAAAATTCAAGCGACAAAAAAATCTCATCCCTGTATAAAAGGTCAACCAGTTTTATCCCAAGGAAATGATTTTTAGAGAAACTTCAGAGGGAGGAATAAGGACTTCAATAATTTCGCTCCACGGAAAATTAAATAATTCCTCATAAAATATTTTAGCTTGTGCAAAAAAAAATTTAAACGGAAATTAGCGGGGAAAAATATGAAAAAAAGCGGAAATCCGCGGAAGGATCTCATCCTTGTAAAATATAATTGTAATATAAATAATATTTTGAAAGCAGTGCACGTACATGCCATGCTATACTATGTATTATGTTTTTACAAGTAATCTATTAAAATATAAAAAATAATATTTTGAAAGTATAGTGTAACATGATATTATTATGAAATACCATTTAAATAAGTAAAATGCAAAATATATAATTACCATAGGTCTGATTTCTGTGAGACGAATTATTTGATCTAGGTTATCAGTTACGTAAATGTCTAAACCTCTGGCTAAGTTGAACGGCTTGCATATCCATGTGTTATCTAAATTCCTAAAATGGAAATTCACATATAAATTGTTAAATATATAGAAAACACAGAGGGTGTTTGATGATTTCTGCCATAAATATATATTTGAAGAAAAATGAAGTCAAAAAGGTATGCATATTTAAATTTAAGCAATAAAAACTAAAAATGCTGTCGTGATGTAACGAATCTATTCAGAGAACAATGGGCATAAAAAACATCAAAATTCATTTTATTATTGGAAGAAGCAGAAATGAGTTACTAAGGTGATAAATAAACACATCTCCAAATTTTGTCAAGTAATTTTCTGGTTTTCAAATTTTTTTTTATTTCAACATTATCACTAGTGATGGTTTCAATAGTGATTTTTCCCCCCTTCACTCAAATATTAACTTGGGACCTTTAATATGATTACTAAGCTTTTGGATAAGAATTATAAAGAAAGTAGTGATTTCAGGACATCATGCATATGTTTACATATAGATTTTACATATAGTATTAATTTGAATAGCATTATATTATATATATTATATATTAATTTGAATTTACATACATTAATTTGAATAATTTGAAATAACATTTCAAGATGAAAACACAGATCACTTTAAGCAGTTTTTTTTAAATATTTATTTTAGACAGAAGATTTATTTTTAAAAAATTTAGAAATTTTTTTTCATCACAATTAAATTTTGACAAAAATAAACAAGCTTGCTTATCTCAGAACCCAAATTCAATTTGGTTAATGTTACCTAAATTCAAATGGTTAAAAATATTTTAAGTATATAAAAGTAGATGTATACATAATTTTAAAAACATTGGAACTTAGGTTAAAAAGATAAACTCAACTTGTAATTAAAACATTAAATGACATTGTGAATTGCTGTATTTGGTTTTGAGGTCAAACAAAAAGATTAAGCGAAAAGATCAATATTAAATCAGTTAAATCATAAATATATTCATTTTATACATAATGAAGTGAAACTCATTGATTTCCAAAAAATAATTTAAGGAGAAAAAATTCAAAAAGGCTTTTATTTTAAGCATTGAATTTCTATCTGAAAAAATGCTATCTGGATGCTTATTTTTTATTTTATTTTTTTTTGCAACATGGAAAGAAAAAAAAGACAATAGGGTGACTAAAAAAAACTATTGGACTTTAGTTTCTATAACTGATATTTAAGAAACTAAATCAATTATTTTTCTTCCCTTGATTTTGGAAATATGGCAATAAAAAATTTTTTTTTAGAAAAAGCATATTTCAATTAATTAATTAATAACACTTAAATAATTTATCTAGGGTTTAACATACAATAGCTTATATTAAATTTTATGAGAAATTAAATGTTTGCTACATAGTTTTTAATTTTGTGACAGAGCTAAAGCTCACATCCACTTAGCTATTTGATGAAATTAAAAAATATCTATCTCCATTATATATGAATAATACACTTTAAAGTAAAAAATGCTCTAGGAAATATCAAAATTGTTCACAATAAAGAAGAAATACATATAGATTACTACTGTAACACGTCTTTTTTTTTTACAACAGCCACTTTCTATATTATCCACAATGTTGATTTTCAAGGTTTGTACAGTGGGCAAAAAATAGTACACCTTTAATAACTTTCCGTTTTATAACTGAGTTTTCATGTACTATTACTCAATCTTAATGGCTCAAGTGTCTAATCTTAATAAACAGAGCTGTGATGGCTCAGAGAACAGAGCATTCGCCTTCCAATGAGGTAAACCATGTTCAAATCCCAGTGATGGCTGGTCGCTATGAATTCCACATACCGCTTGCACCAATCACAGCTCTGACGTGAAATATCCTCAGTGGTAGACGGATCAGGGATTAGAGTTCTCTTGGTGTCAGGCTAATCGTGGGAGGTTCTCATGGTCTTCCTCTCCATGTAACGCAAATACAGGTTAATTCCATCAAAAAAGTCCTCTACCAGGGTTCATACGGAGATCAGAAGAAGAAATTCAAGAAGTTTAAAATTTTAGTCCGAAACTTATCAAAAATTTAAAAACTTTGTTTAAAAGATAACTGGACAGTCTTTTTTTAAAATTGAAAAGCAGTTATTATAAGAACTTGTAAAAATTTATATTTTGTATAAGATATTTCTTCTAGCCCTTTTGAAATAGATTTCGACTTTGTCAAACTTAATCAAGAAAAATAAATAAAGTTATCACTTTCACACATAAATTCATTTTCCAGTTTCAAATATTCCAATAAACCTTGTTAAAGTACATAGTGCAGATGTTAAAGATAAACAGAAAATCTCTCCAATCTTATATTTTTAAATTTGAATACAGAAGAAAATCTAAGGCATTTTATACAAAAAAAAAAAAAAAATCACTGTAAATCATTAATTAAGTTTGCTTGTAACACGTAAAATTAAAATTATTTGCAGTTATTTTTTTCTTCTAACTCTTGCAATTCATTTTTTTTTTAAGTTTTTCTTAAACTATTAGATTTTTATAGCTAAGTCATATCATTTAGCTTCCCTGTTTGGACAGCAAATTTATCAGCGGACCCACTAAGTTCATCCATGCAACACAATAATCTAAGGAGTTTATAAGAACTAATTTGGAAATCTAAGTAGTTTCAAGTACTCCTTGGAGACTTTTTTTTAATTCCAAGGAGTTTCTAAGGAGTCTGTACGCACCCTGCCTCTACAAAGGCAAATTTCTCGCAATATTAGATCAAGGAGTTCCCTTTGTCCTTGGATCAGGTTCAAAATTACAAGACCACGTAGTTGAACATTAGTAGCCATAAATCCAAGAATTTGGTTGGATGTTCAACAACTGTTATAAAATATTAAATAAGCAAATTAATTGTGCAGACAATAAAGTTAAGAAGTTGCACTTTTCTGAAATAACATAATGCTTTTTTCTTTTCACGAATTGGATTTTCACTAAGGGGGAAAAAGTAACCCCAATCTGGAAAATATGGTCTAAATACTTAAAGCAACAGAACAATATTTATTTACTTTTTTGCACTTGGTACATACACTCAACTTTGTATGAAATATGAAATATATAAGTACATATTTTGTGAAAACAGTTAACACAAATAAACAGATAGAAATTACCTTTTTTCACGATTTTGGAAATACGATACAAATTTGGGTAACTCTGTTAATAAACTGAAAGTAGTTGGTAACCACGTAGGAAATGATTCCATGGAAAATGGATCAAAGCTCGCACCCTCGGCAGACCTTCGACATACTATGGCCAATAAATCCTTGTTTATAAGAACTTGTTCTGAAGGAAACTGGTTGACATAGAAGGAATTAGAAGATGACTCTGCTAGTTGTCTAAAAATTAAGAAAAAAAATTGTAAAATAGAATAGTCAAGACAAATTTGGATAGATAAAATTCAAAAATTGCAAACAAAAAAAAAAGTCAAAATTAACCTTTGCTTATAGTGCAGTACAGGATGAAGTCTATCATTATAGTCCACTTATTGTACCAGCAGTAAGGAAAAGGTTAAAAAAAAATTTCAATTATTTAAGGATAAATAAAGGTAATTAAAAAGAAAAAAATTATAAGTAGATGTAAATAAGTAAGAACATACATGGTGACCAGTGAGAGTTTGTTTGATTCAAAGTTTATAAGATTTCAAATTACATAATTCCACCAGTCAGGAATAATTCCACCAGTCTTAACAAGAATGAAATTGAAAGCAAATTTAAGTATATGAGTATTTGTAAATCAGCTACAAATGTTTAAGATTAACACTAGGACCTTTTATTTTTATTCAAATGACTATTTCTTACAATAAAAATAACTTGGATGCATTAAGCTTATTTTAATGCGGTGAAGTTCAATAATAAAAGTTATTTTTTAATAGACTCAAAATTTTTTAATGAATTTCTCTACTATTTCTAATCTTTTTAAAAACACACATTTATTACTATGATAATTCACAATACAGTCAATTTGCAATAATGGGAATCAAATAAGAATACTGAAAAACTTAGATTTATTAGAAGTTTTGGTTTTTAACAATAATGGCAATTGTTAGATATATTTTAATTAAAAATACGTTAATCAATATTTCCATTTATGAAATTAAAAAAAAATGTACATAATGAAGTTGGTTCCCCCAGTAAAAAGGCAGACATCTTTTTTTTTCTTTTTGACTTTCATTAATTCATTTAATTTAGAGTAACTTTTAGTTTCTCTTCTTAATATTGCTGAAGAGTTTTTGAAAAAATTGCATTCTATGCTTTTTTTCTTTTTTTTCTTCAAGATTATATCAGTCCCTATTAGTATTAAGAACATTTTCATTTTTCAAATCAAGCAATTTTACTTTTAGATTAGACAGATTTAAAGATAAACACTTATTTCACACAAACTCTAATAGCAATTTCCAACAAATATATCTAATAAATATTTTATCATATGATGAGTAAATACAGTTGGCCTCTAATTTAACAAACTCTAAGTAAAGCAATTTCGTGATTTAAAGAATTTTTCTTTTTTCCGAAATTAAAATGAAGATAAAAAATTCTATTTAATGAATAATAAACTCCCAGCTTTTAAATTAGTTCACTAGCTGAAAGAAGAAATTTTTTTTTGCTTGCTTGTTAGGGTAATAAAATATTAGACAGCTTTTTAAACAATCACAGTATCCTCCTTACACAAAGCAGAAAAGGATAAAATTCAAAAATTTTGTCAAATGTGATAAACAGTGTATCTGCAGAATTGAAATTGTTGATTTATCAAAATGATTCTAATGTAGAAATGGAAAACTGTGGAAACATACCTAATGCAGCAGGATGTAAATGATATTTTTTCTTCAGTTCAAAAAGTTAAAAAAAAAAAATTATATACATATATATAACTTTCTCAAGTCGGGACCCAAGGAAATTGTTAAACATTACTCAATACACACTTTAAAATTTCAAACTAACTAGAGTGTACTTATTTACTGCATTTTTAACTTCTGAATAAAGAATTGTACAATTTCTAATTATGGATATTTTTGGATAGTAGCTGGGTAAGAGCAATTTTTATTTCATTTTAGTCCTCCAAATAACAATTAACTTGGGCTTGAATGAATGAATTGGTCCTAATTAGGTGCTTTAATTGGTGTAAACATTATGATTACATATTAGTGAAAATTTAAATGCTTTTTAAATAATTTTAACAAAAAAAAACTTTTATTTTTAGTTTATTTCAGAGTCAGTTAAAAAATTACCACATTTACTGAAGCAAGGATGATCTAGATCTGAAACTCAACTGTTACTCAAATGGACTGAAGGTATTGTAGCTTGTGTTATGTTGGTGACACATATGATGTAAACAAATATCGAAACTATGTACAACAACTAGCATTTTATAATTAAGCTTTAAAAGTCCAAGGAGATTTTAATACCAAAGCTATTAAGATTATTACAAGTTAAAGATGTTCTTAGTAATCATTTGTGCATCTTTTTGTCTCTAATAATAATTAAACCAATGAAAACATTTAAAACAATAAGGAGAATTTAAAACAAATATTGCTAAAGGTTAAAATAATTATAGTATTGACTAATTTCTAAGGACAAATACAGTTCTTTACAAAAGGAAAAACCAGTTTGCTGTTCCAAAGACTACTAATAATGCATAACATTCCATCTTAATATGATCTAGCACATAGTAGAGCACAAAACAAATTACAGATCATTTCTCCTCACAAAAAGATATGTTAAAAAAAAAAAAACTTTAAACAAAATGCTTTTAACACAACATCAAAATATTAATTAAATCATATCGATTTCTCCTTCTAGTAAATTTAATTAGTCTGTATATGAAGTTAGCGAATGGAAATTTTGTTATTTTAATTATAATTATTTTGTTATTTTAATTATTTTATTATAATTTATATTATTTTAAATTAAATTTTTCAAACAATAATACTGAATACCAAGGTTTTTATTTCAATTCAGATATTATTAAATCTAATAAGGAATTCAAATATAATTTTATTATTTGTGTAGTTGACAAAGTATCTAATAATTTCTGCTTTATTTGCAAAGAGTATTTTAAACATTCAATGAATAAAGAATATGAAAACAATAATGCATAACAAAGACTACTAATAATGCAAAACATTTTATCTTAAAATGGTCTAGCACACTGTATATACAAAACAAATCACAGATCATTTTTCCCCACAAAGAGACATCCCCAAAACACTGTAAACACAATCTTGTTACAAAATTAAAATATCAATTAAATTAAATTCCTAAATATGATTTCTCATATATTTTTATTGTTAAGGCAACTAAAACAAGCTTCTTAATGTTGAAAATGTAATATAACATAAATCATTAGTAAGTTTTTTTAGGTTGGTAAGACCCCTAGAGGATTGAAGTAACAATGGTGAAAAAAATTTTTTTTATGCATCCTGCAGTTGTCAGTTTTATTAGCATTATAACATGGAGCACTTAATATTCATAAGCAAAAAAACTTACCTATAATCATATACCCGTCCAGCTAACCAGAGTATATGAGCTTCACTTTTTTCATTTGTGAAATAAAATCGAGGAATTGTTAAAAATTCAGAAACTTCAGGATAGTCAGTATACACTTTAATTTTCTTAATATCCAATAGATTTGGAATTTCGATGCCAATGTCAGGTAGCTCTTCAACAACGCGACCAGACTGAAAAATTTAATTAAAGACACTATTAACCATGACTATCAGTAGAAGAAAAATGTTTAAACAAGAAGCAAATAACTCTTTCTTGTCAAAACAATCTATATGTAAATCTTATAACTGGAAATCATAAGCAATAAAAAATCTATTTGTCTTGCCTTACATCTTTCATGAATTTTTACATTATAATAAATAATTTCTGATTAATAATTATTATCACTTAATTTAGTAATCTAAAAAAAACTTCAATTATAATGCATAATTACATACAAGGTAAACTATGTACTTTTAAAATAAACCAATTAAAAGTGATTTAAAATTATAAGTGCTTTAACAAAAATTTATTTTTAAAATAGTAATTTTAGGAACTATTCAACCAAATTATTTAAATTTTCGTTAAATTAAAACACTTAAAAAAATAAGCACAAAATTTTTAGATCTAAAGATTTAAAATAATTATTAACTTATTAACTTAACTTATAATTGTTATAACAGTATTATCCCCAAGCATTATTTGAAGGGTGCCCCCCTGCTTAATCTTTGAGGTCAATAAATGCACTCTCTTTGCCTTTTTTGTAAAAGTAATGCAGCCATCCCTTAAAAACACTGCCTTTTTTATTCAGATTCCATTTTGAAAAAAATGTATTCAGTGTTTTTAAATAATAATTACATACTGGTAAAATTATCTGTGGTTATAGGTTCAATTCTGATTACTATTACAAATATTTATTTTATTAGGATTATTCTTCAATTGGTTAAATTTTTATAAGTATATTTTTAGGGGGGGGGGAAGGAAATATTAAAAAAAATTTTAAGTGATTTTTAAAACTATTTTTTTAATAAATACCTTTTCTTTTTTTTAAAAAAAAATCATCTTTAAATGTTTATTTTCTCATAATTTTCGATTTAAATTACAGAAAAAAAAGCTTTCAAGGTTGTTTTTTTTATTAGTCATTTTTTTGAAGAAAAAATATATGTACATGCCATTAATTATTTTTATAAACTACAAATCTTATTTTGATAATGAGAGAGAATTGCTATTCGAAATATACTCATTAAATTAGTGGGGGAGCATAATTTAAAAACACTTGGGCATAAAATTCAGTTTTTACGTAATCTTACACAGATAAATATTTAAGATGTTAAGTGAGGAAGGATCCTGCCCTTTTTATTTCTAGGGAGAACTCTGGTTATAAATTATTTTTCCCTGTAGTATTTATTAACTGTTTTCTAGTATGGTAAAAAGATTTTTTGCTTTACCCTATTAATTTTACAAATAAAGTGAAAATCTCAAACACATAAGTAAAATAATAATAATGATAAAAAAAACACATCGAGAAACTGTTCACTGACATCCCGACTACAATATTATTACTATATTTTCCAGGGCAGTTCTCTTTCATATTTTGAGGCTCAATGACTACAATCTTGCAAAAAATACATTTTAACTCAGAGAAATATGTTTTGTGTTTAATTTTATATCTTAACCACTAACCTGTCTAATTTTATATCTTAATACTACTTAATTAGCATATATTAGATACAACTTTTGTAAACCATGAAATTTACATCTTATAATACAAAAACTTTTTCAGAATACAATTTTTTCCCTACCGTTATACACATAGCTAAACGTTTTTCAGGGTGCATAGCCAGATTTTTCATCAAAAAATAAGCACCCTTTAAGCACTGAAAAAACTTTTGTAACCACTTTCTAAAAAAATAAACAATAATAATTGGCAGTAATAAAATAAATTTTTCTTAAAGTTTTGAATTTATAAACGTAAAATAAAGTAAATTCACAAACTTTTCATAACCATGATAAAATAACTAGTTTCTGATAAAAATTGCAGAGAAAATTGTAAAAATCATGTATTTTTTGTAATTTAGAACAACAATTGACACAGAAAAAAAAAATCTTTTAAAAGATAGAAAATTAAGCACTTTTTACAAACCCTAAATAAAAAAAGCACCTGAAAGGGCTTTTAAAAAAAAATTAAATCAAAAATAAGCACATTTATGCAATTTTTAAAAATACTAGGCCCCCTGCCTCTTAAATAGATCATTATGAAAGAAAAATCAGATGATAAAATATGATTTAAAATTTTAATGGCAATACTTACTGTCAAGTATTCAAAATCTGGTTCAGTTTGGTTGAAATCTATATATGATAAGTCACACTTTTCCCAGGGATATTTCAATACTGCTTTCATTTCATCCAACATCGACATTTGAAATCGTGGATAGCAACAAGTAACTTCCTCTTTAAAAAAAAGCAAACAATAATATTTAAAAAAATGAAAATTTAACATATGGTGCTCGAAATTCTTTTGACATAATAACAATAAAACTGTAAACAAATTAAAAACTAAATTAGAATTAGTCAGAATGGAACAAAATATTTATCTTTTGCAATTTTCCAGGACAAACACATACAGTATACTCTCGATATCTCAAACTTCTATATCTGGAAATTCATGTTATATAAAAAAAATATATATATATATTTACCCCCTTGGCATAACATGTCAGCTAATATTAATTTGATTTCTTAGGCCGAAGAGTTTCTTTTCAAAACATTGCTATGTCGAATATTTTTCGAAACATAAAAAGAATTTTTTCGTAAAAATCACAGTGTAAGTTTATAGTAAACCAATTCTTTTCTATTTAATGCATAATTAGTTTCGTCTTACTTTTAAATATCATTGCTGTATTTAGACTCATAGTCAACTATCATTACATACATAATTATCAGTAGTTGTTTTTATATTTCATGATAATACTTTTTGCAGTGCTATTTCAGAATATATTTTTACACTTTTTAGTACATATTTAGCTTTGATTATCTCGAAAACTCGCTATCTCAAAACTCTTTTGGTATCCCTTCAACTTTGAGATGTCGAGAACATACTGTATTACTAGCCAAGAAAGTTCCTGGAAATAAATATTTTAAAATTTCAGAAACATTTTATTATACAAGGAGAATGGACAAATTTAAGTTCAAGTGGCTGAAGCTTAAATATAAGGTACACAAAATTTGTTTAAGATAATAACAAAGCTGAAAAGTATTAATAGTAAATTCTCTCTTACTAATGAAATAAATTCTCTCTGACTAAGGTAAAGTAAATTCTCTCTTACTAATGAGAACTTATACGAAACTAGTGAAAAAATAATGAAAATAGAACAAAGTTTACTAATGAAATAAATTCTCTCTGACTAATGTAAATTCTCTCATACTAATGAGAACTAATATGAAACTAGTGAGAAAATAATGAGAAACTAATGAAAATAGAACAAAGTTTTTGTTTTCTTAAGCAATTTTCAGATTTATATGCAGAATACCCCATAAGCAGAATATTTTCAAATGTTCTGCAACAGGACTTATTGATTTATACAAATGTTCGGCAAGCATTTCACAGCGAAAAAAAGTCAACTTTACGTTAAAATACTACATTTTAATTTATTAAAATACAGGATCATACACAGATGCACAACATTCTTTTTTAAATCAAGGTAAACATTCTTGATTTGTTACTTTCTCAATCACTTTTGAAGTACAAAATTTTGTTAATGATGCTGAATTATTAATTAAATGCCTATGATATGAAGGTCCGAACATTAAAATAAGGGCTGCCTTAAAAATCTTTCGAAAGGACTAGTGCCCAGATGGTGCACCATTTGCAAACACAAACATTCGCTAGTCTGTTGTTCCAACAACTTCTTCATCTCCATCGAAAACATTTGGTCTTTTAGAAACAATTCTGTCAATCGTGGCTCCTCACGATTCACAAATTGCTTCTGAAATGGGAATGGAAAATATAGAAGTCAGAAACTTTATGAAATTAGAAATCTCTGAATTTAACAAGTAAACAAAAGGAGTAAAGCGGCTTATCAAGGATTTTTAAGTCAAAAATTTAAACATAAGAAAATTTATCTAAAAATGTAGGGGTGATGAATGAGATGGTGGAAGGAAATGTTCTGCAAGATTATAAGAGTAACTTTTAAACCGTCAGGTCATTATGGTCTACCGAAGAATGTATGAGATCAGGGTTGGGAATTGCTCTGCAAGACTACCGAAGGCAGGTGATCGGGGGTTAGCAGGAAAATGCTGTCACTTATTCACGATACAAATTGTTCTGCAGGACTTCGTTTGTTCTGCGACGTACGGCACAGTTTTAGGCACTTTCTACTTCTGGGCAGAATACTAACTAAAATAAATCTATAATAAGTACATATTCTTTTTAGTATCCTAAAAACTGTTTTTTTACAAAACTAGTAATGTAAAGGACTAACATAAAAAGAAATTTTAATTTATTTTGCTATGGTAAATAATAAAAATTCACAAAATAAATGACCTACCTCCTTCTAGAACAGAAACTTTTGGAAAAAGAAGTGAATATGTCACACTGTCTGGTGCATAAAAAAAGGGTACTATTATAAAATTAGGTTCTTCTGAGTGTCTGATAGCAGATCCAAACTCATCCATTATATACCACCACCTAACAAAAGACTCATCCTTAAAAAATAAATGGAATTTTTAAACGGTGTATCACTGGTAAAAAATAATATGCATTTCAAACAAATATTTTTTTTAAAAAATTCAGTAAATGAAGTAGCATATATTTTTTTTTCAACTATTAAGAAAGGAGCTATAGATATTCAATTGGATCAGAACATTTACACATAGGCAATTTTTTTTAATCAAAAAAACTTGTAATGCCTTTTTGAAATACTTTTAGAGCACTATTTAAATGTTTTGTAACTGAAATTTTAATGTGTTCTTATGTTAGTAGTTTAATGCGAAAGAAGGATGACAAATAATAAAAAATAGATACAGTAACCTGAGAATTATTATAAATAAATCATTTAAATGATTATATTTCAAGTTTTAAATTATAATATAAACTAATATAATAAAAATATGAAGATTTCTTTTATACCAAAATTAACCAAAAACCAAAAAAATTGTTTTAAAACATGAGAAAACAAGTGTGTTTTTAATAATTAACAGTTATGAAGCTGTTTTTTTTTTTTTTAATTTTTTTACCTAAATTTAAATATAGGGTGAATTTTTTTTATGCTCCTTAAAAATTTGTGAAATTATAATCTCTGACACCACATGTCCAGTTACTCACAAAAATATTGGCAGGTATAAAAAAATTCAAGGTATTTTAAAAACACTAAAATTACTTACTTGTTCTGAGTTCTTCACAACATATGAGTTGTTGAACCTAAAAATAAAATTAAACACATTTATTTACAACAATTTTATAAGATAAACAAATAGTCAAACAAAAACAACGTCGATAGGTATTTAATAGGAACTAATTATACACGTTAAATTCAATTTTATTTTCATGAAACTGATGCATCACATTTTTAAAAACAAAATATAAATTATGAACACATTCTTTACCATTCCCTCATTTCCATTTAGAGTGCAAAATCATATAAAGTGATTAAAAAGAGAAATTAAGCACTTCCACAAAACCAGTAGCTGGACAAGAGTTTTTTGGAGATAAAGAATCCACAATTACAACACCAATGGTGTGATTATGGCAATGCAATTAGAGAAGTTACATCACTTTTCAAACAAGCACAAACTGAAACATTAGAAGCTAGGTGAATTTTAAGCTGCCGTTGGAGATAGAGTTAAAGTGTTTTAAATGTTGGCTCAGTGTCATAAGCACTGTGACACACAAAAAGATTAAGTGTTCCAAGTAATTTTTATTTTATTTTATAACCGTCGTTGAACAGACTATACGACTACTAATTTTACGACTACTAATGTTCAACTAAGCAGCCTTGTAATTTTGAACACAATCCATAAGACAAGAGAACTCCTGGATCAAGTATTGGGAGAAATTTGTCTTTGTGGTAGACTTCTTGATGAAATTAACCTGACGAAAAGGGGACTCTAACCCATGATCCATCTACCACTGAGGATATTTCCCGTCAGCAATGTGGCCAGTGCAAGCTGGATGCGGATTCGTATTGACCAGCCATCGCTGGGATTTGAACCCGGTCCACCTCATTGGAAAGCGAACGCTCTATCCACTGAGCCATAGCAGTTCTCTTCCAAATACTTATTTTGGGAGTACTAATATAGCTTCATTAGAAATATCCTGAGCTTTATTTTGGGATTTGAATGTATCTGCATTGAGAATGAGCAGCAGGAACTTACCCATCACACTAAACACACATGCAGCTTCATCAGTGCCATTTACACAAAAAGCAAATTAAGTATGCACTACCATTAATTTAACTTACTAATAATTGCCTAGAATCAATTTAATTCTAATTACTTTAAGTTATAATAATAATTTTATATTCATGCTATTTACCATTCCATTTGTCCCTAATAGTTCCACAATAAAATATAATATATTAGAAGCAGGTATAACAAGTTTAGGTGCGATGAAAACGTTTTAAATCTTTTAACATAATTCCACAACTTGAAATAATTAGAAAACCCCTGATCTTTGCATTGAGTATCAGTAAAAATGAGAATATTAGTTTACTAGTTATACAAAAAAATCTAGTAAACTAACATTGAACTGAAGATAATATTTTTTTTAACATGATATAGATAGGAAGAAAGACATGCGTAAGGCAAAAGAAAGAAACTTACTTCCACATTTTACTAAGTACAATATTGATTTTTTCTTCTTTTGATAAATTTTCTTGAGATACATTCATGATGTTACACATTCTATCAAGTAAATTCTCCAATCCAGCCAAAACTGTCCTTGCAATGTTTAGTGTGTATGTGAAGGCATGATCAATTAAATATATGCTAAAAAATAAATTTTTTTCTCATAATTACAATAAAAGCATTGTATGATAACAAAAAGCATTTTATTATGTTTTATTTTCATTCATAATAAGATGACTTATATCAAGACATTAAAAAATTTTAATATATTTATTATATGTGTTAATATATATAAATGGTAATATATTTAATTATTATTATGTTACTAGATAACCAAACATTTGTCAAGTAGACTGCTAACTCCAGCCAGTTTTGCAAATTTGGGATTTCACGTTAACACTTCAGAGATTGAAAATGTTAAAGCGTATCACTTATCTATATTTTAATAAAAATCAAAGAATATTTCCCTTATTTTAAATATAGAATGAATGAATATAAGTGCCATTATCACTTATCTATATTTTAATAATTAATATTAATTAATTAATATTAGTAATTAATTAATAAATATTAATTGCATTAATTACATAATATTAATTAAATAAAAATTACTATCATTAATTAATTAATAATTAATTAATATTAGTAATTTTTAAAAATGCTAACATTTTAACCAATGAGAACTATTCATTTTTGACAATATCTACAGAACATTAGTAATTATTAAAAATCTTGTCGCTGAACATCATACGTAACCTTGCTATTGAGGAGTAATATATATTTCAAAATCATACAGACATAAAACTAACAACATTATTTTCAATTAATATATTTAAATTATAAGCTCTAATAAAATCAAAATACTCTTGAAAATAAATTTAACTAATAACAAAGCAAAAAACAAAATAACTTCTTTTATTCGCAAAACTCGAAACCTAACCTAATTAATGAAAATGAATCTTTTATCAAACATTTGCAGATAAGAAAAATCTTAAAAGGGTAAAAAAAAAAAAAAAAAAATTTAAAAAAAAAAGCTTTTTTATAAAATTATTATGAATTAAACATGAGTGATAAAATAAATAATGACTATAGTCGAAAACCAAATAAAAAAAATATCTCTGATTATTACTGGTCATCGTCATCAGGATCCATAGAATATTTAGTAAACACCCTTAGTTGACCACCCTCTTCTTCAGAATTTTCATCATCATCTGAAACCTAAAATAATTTTAAACATTAGTTTTCTGCACATTTGTTTCAGTCTCCTAAACATTTTACAAGAAATGTTTAAATAACGACATAACATCTTATTTTTTAAAGATATAGGAAATAAACTATCTTAAGTTAATAAAAAAATCTATCACTGAACAAATCGCTTCACAACAATATCTGTACTATACACCAATTTAATTTGGTAGGGTGATAGAAACTAGAGTATGTAATGTTGTGAAAATTAATTTTTTAACAGTCATACTAGTTTTTATAAGAATTATACAGGGCTTGAGGGGGGACTCCACCCTGAGATGGTAAAATATTAACGTTTTTCTTGAATTTTTTTTAAGTAATAGAGACAATGCAGAGACTCCTTGTTTCTTTTATGTTATTTAACTACAATTTAAGTATATTTTAAAATTTTTTCTTTTACAAAATAATAAAAAATTAGTTGGTGGCAGCTCCATGTTAAAAAAAAAGTTCAGTTTTACATTAAAAAAATATTTATTAAAATGCTAATACAAAATCGAAATATAAAAATATCAAAAAAATCCTATGCTACTTTCTAAAGAATATATTTTTACGTGATTTAAAATAAAGAACAGCTTATTTCAGTGCATAGATTATGAGAAAAACCTTCGTCCAGGTCAAAAAACAGCGTTTTGAGAAGAAAGCGTTTAAAGTTTTGACTTATGGTAGAGAAAAACGTTTAATTTCATACATATAATGGTCAATAAATGAAATACCCACAATAAGCTTCTATATACAGTCAACAGAATGGATGAGACACAAAAAGAATGTCGCCCGTCCTAATCCGGCCGAACAGGCCTTTCTACCTGCTTAGCGACGACTCTCTATTCACCGGCATAACTTCCAAACGAAGTTAGGTACCGAAAAATCGTTTTAGACAGACATTAGAAAGAGTACAAAGATTCGAAAAATGCAATAAATATTTTTTTTTGAATTTTTGAAATATTCAGGGTGGGGTCTACCCTTAAAATTAACAAAATAATTATCAATGTGCCCCTGGACCAGCAATCGATGTAAGGGAATCTCTATTAGTTTTTTGATTTTATGTTTTGGTCTGTGTTTTTGTCACCAAGTAGCATGTTTCATCAAAATTGAGACATTACTCATTCTTTGTGTTGTAACTTTTCTTTTAAATTCACTTAGTTAAATTCTCTTAATCAAAATAGTTGTTTCAAATAAAGAGGAAAATGTGTCAATTTCCTTCTACAGCTTAAGAGCTCACTATAATGAAACTAAGAACCCACCGCAATGATAAATCAGTCTGCTATTGTAAAATTGTAACCGACTTTTATGGTATATAAGTAATCACAAAGTTGTTTGGAAACATGTGTACACGTAGTATGATCATCAGTGAATTAATTTTGTGTAGAAAAACAAGATTCATAAAGAAAAATTTGAATAAAGAAAATCTTTATTTTACTTACTTGAGAATAAATAAAATCATTTCCAGCATCAAATGACTGCAAGAACAAAAAATAATAATTTTAATATAGAGCATCTCAATAAAGAAAATACAAATAATATAAAAAATTAAGTGTTTTTTTAAATTATCACAATTCCCAATTATCAGAAGTTTTAAGACTATGAAGAAAAAGAAATGAGACAATACATTTGTAAATCACATACAATGCAGTTTGCAATAGTTATTGTGTTGTATTTTGCTCTTATCATTTTAACAGCATGTATGGATTAAAAGCAACATTAGTAAAAAATAAAAATTTCCATGAATTTTTTCAACAAAAAAAAAAAAAAAATAANAAAAAAAAAAAAAAAAAAAATACGGAAAAAATTATTTGATGAAAAATTTTTAAACACACCAAGTACACATAACATTGAAATAAATTTATTAAGTTTCGTAAATAAGTTAAATTAGAATATTACTACGAAATATTTTCAAAATAATTTGAACACATTTTAACCAAAATTTAAGGTTTTCTATTACAAATAATACACAAATACATAAAATTTTAATTACAAAACTTTTTTTTTTTTGCTTTCTTTTCATGTCTTTAAAAAAATCATTTCCCGCATTACCGATAGATTTAATTTCTTGAATAAATGCTTCCACTTGCTCTGCGGGATTGCAAGTTTCTTCAGTTGTTGTTCATGAGTTGATACAAAATTTTCAAATAAATCATCAAATTCATTAGCCATGCTTTTCGTAGATAAATTGCGAAAAAAAATGCACATCTGTTTATTTACATTTTGCAGCTGTTCATGATTGTTGCCAAATAAATTTACAAACAATTTTAAATAACTTTTCACCAGAGATTTTAATACCTTAATCGTAACAGAAATAGTCAGCCGGAAACTTATTCGAAAGCAAACGCTCCAAAATCAAACACTTGCAAAACATTTTCATTGAATGAGTAAAGTTTCTGGTTTACATTTATGACTTCATGCAGGTAAGATAAATTTGTAATTTTGAATTATATTATTGATACAGAAAGTTATGCTTCATGAATCATTTTAGGCATATTAAAAAATTTCGATTTCAAAAATTGCTATGTTCAACTTAATTTTGTTAGAATGAAATTGCTCTAATAAATGCACGAATTAAGTGATTTATAAAAGGTAAGTAACCATATCCGATAGTGAAGATATTTTTTTCTTGTATTGCTGATTGATAACGCCTACCGTCCGCCGTTTTAAAGAAAAGATATATGAAGCAAAGAATTTAAAAATTAACTTAAACTGTATACTCCAAAACATTTTTTATTAAAAATCATTATTTCTTTCGTGTGGACAATTTAGGAATGTTTATTTATCACTTTAATTATTATTTTGACTTCTAAATAAAACATGTATGCAATATGGTTGTATGTTCATCTTGTATCTAGTACTCATTGCAAATTTTAAATAATTTAAACGGAAATAAGTTTTAAAAATTTCTCATAATTTTTTGAAAGTAAAGCGTTTTACAAAATTTGCGCCTATTATTACAGTTTTAAGATAGCAGCCTTGCTTAAATCTAATCAATATTTGAAGGAAAGGAATGAGGGTTAAACAGCTTCTTTTTAAACATTATTAGGAATATTATAGCTGTGACAATAAAGCTCATTTTTAATAATAATTCGATTGTACCGTAGACTCTCTAAGACTCTCTAAAAAAAAAAGACTATGCAGTGTTTTCACTACAGCGCGAGAATCTCGCTTATTTTTTTCTTTTCTCGCATTAAAAAATTATTAACACGAGAAGATCGCGCACTCTATTGATCAATTTCAAAATGAGCGGATTTTGGAAAAAAATTTGTCTTCTGCCAGTTTGAATAAAATCCGTTTTACTTTTCTTCCTTGATCTTTCATTATTTTCAACATGGCTCCCTGTTATCTAGCTTCCCTCCTATTTACCAGTATTGTTCAGAACCGGTGCGAACAGCAGAACACAATGCCCCCCCCCGAATGACAGAACACATTTTTCTGCAACCACGTGTTCACGGACGGTTGTTGCAAGGTCACTTAACACTCAAAACCGAATTAAGACAGAATATCTTATACAAATGACTGATAAACATTTGAGCAACCTAATGAGAAAGTAGATATAGAACGTTTTCCATATGATGATGCAGCAAAAATATTCAATGCTTTAAAAATTAGAAGATGTTAAAAATGTATTATAATTAAAGAAGTATTTTTTTTCCAAGTCTATTCGCATTTTTTTTTTAATTTTTAAAAATCTCACTTAGCTTTTTGAAATCTCACCCTGTTTGTGAGAAGGGGTGAGAAATTCTCTCTCATTTTTTTTCTGTAATGAAAACACTGCTATGGAATCATAAATTAGACTGAGGAATTGTCGCATTTGATCTAAGCTGATTTGGGTGTGGAGATTTCAAATCTGAAAATTTTATTCTGAAAGCTGAAATTTAATATTTTTAGTTTAGTTTACTTTTTGTATGAATATATATATAGAACATATAGGCTTATATACATACTTATACATGTCTGTTTCTTTGAAAATAAAAAGGACAAAAAACATGTGACCATCTCAACTTGTCGGAAGTCGAAATACCATTGCTTACGTATAAGAGAAGTGAGGACACTTAGTATTCATTCAAGGGAATTTAAAAAAAAAATCAGGGAAAATAATATATTAATTAAATTACGTAAAAGCTGCAGCTTGAAGAGAGAAACCGATTGCAAATTTGAAATCAGCAACTCAAAGATATTTTTAAATGCATCCATGAACCTCATCAAACAAAACACTAAAAAATTATTCCCCTATATTATTAATGATTTAAAAAAAATAATAAAAGAAAACTTTTTTTCATCGTAATAGGGTAAACCAACCAGTGAAAGAACACTACCCAGTGAAGGAACATTTCATATATATTGATTAAAAATAAGAATTTGAAAGTTTTTCTTTAGATTAATAGGTAACAATAGCTTACTGCCAAACAATAGGTAGTCATCTAACAATGTTTTGGATTACCTGGTTAAATAGACTTCTCTGGAAAAATTTTTGAATTTGTTATTATCTCTGCAACACCTTGTTTCTTTGAAAAAATTATAAGGTGAGTGTTTTTATTTATAAGTTTGAAGTGGAATTAATTGCATGTAATAGTTTTATTTTTCTCAATGTGAAAAAGAGAATTCAAAATATAGTTATTGAAGTTACGTTTTATTTTTTTAAGCATCATAGCATAATAAAGTACTGAAATAAAGGGGTGTTTATTCACTGGATCACCAAACGATGAAAAACCAGTGAAGGAACAAGTTAATGAAAATAAAAGATAAACTTTAATTTTCTTGTACCTTTAGTGATGTTCCGCATCAAAAGTATGTTAAAAATACGAAAAACAACTTCTAACCAGTGAGGGAACAGGCATGTTCCTTTACTGGGCATAGATTTCCCAGTGAATGAACAGTATGTGTTAATATGTTGACACTTTAATTTTCAATTCATGATTACAAAAAAAAGTTAACATTTTCCAAGTATTTATATGTTATAATTTCAAGAATAGGCTTGTTTTTAAATATTTGTATGGCTTATAAATTCATAACGAGCATTAAAAAACAACCAAAATTAAGTGTTCATTCACTGGTAAGAGCTGTTCGTTCACTTGGTCTTCTTACTACTTGTTATTTGAACCTCCAAAACTTTAAAACAATATTATGTAAGTTCTCTACAATTTTCTTACATAATTTGTAATTAGTAACAAATATGTTGACACTGTCATTTAACTAAAATTACAAATTTTGAAATTAATATGATTTTTTAAAAGGCAAGCGAAGCTTAAGTGTTCCTTCTCCTTCACTGGTTAGTTTACTCTATATTGCACTTAAAAGGCAAAATTGTCTAATATTACTGTTTATGGGGAGGGACACTAATGTGATATCGAGTCGGTTTTTGATATTGCATGAGCGTTAAAGAGTTTCACTTTTCAGGGATGAGATTTTTCCGCTTTTTAGCGGATTTCCGCCTTTTTTGCTTTTGTCTCACGAATTTCAGCCTTTTTTCTTCTTTTTTTTTATTATCAAAAACTCCGATTTTCTTAGAATTTTTTTTTTATATAAATATTCCGCTTTTTCTGAAAATTCAACAGTTGAAATAAAATAATTATATTTATTTCCGATTTGATATATAGATATAATATATCAAAAGATATAGAAAATTATACGACGTAACTGCCATCAACCCTTCTGCATATCTACTTATTTTAGCTCTTAGCTTTTATCAGCAGAAAATAAGATATTTCTCGTTTTTACCCGTTTGTTCAATAGCTCATATTTTCATAATTCAGACGACGCTGCATTTTTATATCAAACATCGATTTTCATTTTTACCTGATTTAAAAGGTGCACGTTGCTATTCTTATTCACGCGATTTCACTATTGTTCATTGCAATTCTTATTTACGAGATTTAAAAATCCCAATATCGCGATTTGTATTGAGACGTTTTTAAAATTCTATGTAGAGATTCGTATTCATGCGAGTTTATCCAATGTCGTGATTCGTTTTTGCGGTTGTAATATCCAACATCTATTTTCGTATTTACACGTGATTTAGAAATTAGACTTTGGATTCGTATTCACGCCATTTAGAAATTATGCATCATTATTCGTATTTACGCAATCTGAGAATTTCGCATCATGATTTGTATTTTCACATTTTTGAAATTCAATATCGATTTTCATACAAGTGATTTCAATATCATGGTTTATATTCACGCGATTTTAAAATCCAAGATCGCTATTTGTATTCACGTGATTTTAAAATCCTTTATCTCGATTCTTGTAAAAAGTAAGTTTTCTTCTTGAATTAGTAACTATAAATGTGGCAGTTTTTTTATCGACGATTATTACTATATATAAGCATTACAACATCAGCGAAACTGGATGAGAATATGCTACTGATATTTTTGCTATAAATCACGTAAGATTTACCGCGTGAAAATTCAGCTTTTTTGACATTTGGCCAACCTCATCCCTGACTTTTAACTTTTAATCTTACCGAAATATGGCTCAACTTAATTGTTTCATTAATATTTACATAGAGAAACATAATTTTATTTATAGAGTAATTATATAAATTTATTTATACAGTTCAAAATATTAACAGCAGTTAATTTATACAGTTCAAATATTATTGCTCAAGTTGAAATATGTAACGAATTTTTCATTCGACACACAAGTAGTTAATGAAACATTAAGTATTGCTTCTATAAATAATTAAAAATATATACTAATAAACAGTATACTAAAAAACAATAAAGCTTTAATTAACTAAATGCTTTCAGGAAAAAAAGATATGAAGAATATATATATTGTATTTGAATTTAGTTTAAAGCAATTAAGGAAAATAGTGCCTACTATAACAGCTTTAAGGTAGAGACATGTGTATGATATTGCATCATTGGACAATCATTGCCGGATGATGAGTTCACTTAATGATTTTGTGTGAATTATATGATTAAAAAAATATTCATACATCTATTAAATTTTTTATTGATATATTTCGCACAAGTAGTTAATGAGATATTTAATTTTAATTATATAACTCTTAATATTTAAGTAAGTATGTTATGAAAGAAACAACGGACCACCCTAAATAACATTCGATCTAATGCTGTTACCTAATTAATTTTGATTGTTCAAGAGGGTGATCTCAAGTATGCTAATTATTTGGGCAAACGATATTTTATGTTACATAATCGGACAAAAAGCATACTTTCACTGAATAAACAGACCTTTTTTTCGGCGGATTCGAATTTTTGAGGATAGGAAAATATGAGAGATAGCTGCAATCTGGAGAATATAGTCCCAATAAATTTGTAAGGAGAGGGGTCGGAAGTTTGAGCTCCTTAATGTTAATTTTTAAAATCTTTTTCAAAATTCGATTTCTCAGGAACTATTCGACTGATTTCGTTCAAATTTTGTATTTTGTCATTTCTAATTGCACTTTTTA